ATCTTTTCTTGCTTTTGCTGCCCTCACTGTACATAAAAGCCAGGCATTTTAGATTGTAGGAAAGTATCCATTTTATCTTTTCAAGATTTTATTCATTTAAGAGAGAGAGAGGGAGAACGCTCAGCAGGGGGGAGGGGAGAGGGACAGGGAGAGAGAGAGAAGAAGACTCCCCACTGAGCAGGGAGTCCAAGGGAGGGTTTGATCCCAGGACCTGGGGATCATGACCTGAGCTGAAGGCAGATGCTTAAGGGACTGAACCATCCAAGTGCCCCATGGAAAGTGTTGTGTTGTGTTGTGTTGGATTTTATTTTATTTTTTAGATTTTTCTTTTAATTTGTCAGAGAGAAAGAGTACAAGCAGGGGGATCAGCAGGCAGAGGGAGAAGCGGGTAACTCCCCGCTGAGCAAGGAGCCCAATGTGGGACTTGATTCCAGGACCCTGGGAGCCAAAGGCAAACGCTTAACTGACTGTGCCACCCGTGCATCCCTAGAAAGGGTCTATTTTAAATATTCCTTCCTGCCACCTTCCCTAAGCCAATCACTTACAGCATACTCACCACACCCAGAAATTTAATGTGTGCTCCATAGAAGTTCTTACTAAAACTGATCAGAAACAAAACAGAAGAGAGAGACAATCCATTCCATTTTCATTACTCCCATCACCTAATTTGTACCTTTGTCTTTTTTCCAGGTTCTTAATATGAATACTAATACTTATTTTCAAAATTGCCTGAATCACTTTGTCTCATTTCTCAATTTCTGTCTCTGCAACACCTAACACATATAGATGTATTAATTAATATTTGTAACACTTCTCTGGAAAAAGCTGTGTATTAGGAAAAATAAAACTTTCTTTTTCATTAACCTTGGAAAACCTCAGATTCTTCATATTCTAAATAGCATGTACTCTTTGGAAACTTATTCCAGTTCACGAGGAAATTTTATGTTTGTCAGGTGTCTAATTTCCTCCATGCTAAATACAATATTTATCCTTGTAATACCAGAATAAGTCCATAAGCATATATAGATAGGTAAGTGTGCATATATGTGTTTATATATACTCTTATTTAAACTTGTTTAAGAACATAAAAGGAGGCCAAGCACATCATAAGTGCTTATTATAGAGCTCACTAGGTAGAATTCTTCAAAAAGTCCATTAACAATTAGGAAGGCATGCATTTCAACCCAAGTTTCAGAAATTCAAAAGAAGCAAGAGTCTCTTCAGAGAAAACCTGCCCGCGACCGGGCTGAGGCAATCCGCCTGAAAACATGCCCTCTGCTGCCATCAAGTGGCTCTTTTCAGAATCGTTTTACAAACATAATCAGAGCCAATACGCTTTGCTTTCCTACCATTTCATTCTTTATACATTACACATGTTATTCTTTGGGGAATTGAGATATTTGAGAAGGCCAGGAAAACCTTTCCTAAATTAGGGCTTTATACTATGAATGCTGTGAAAATTCCATGACCAAGAAGCTCTTCAGAAAGATGATACTTGCAGTAGAAACTCTTCCCAGCCCTATATGGGTAGCTCAGTGGGTTGAGGCCTCTGCCTTCAGCTCGGGTCATGATCCCAGGGTCCTGGGATCAAGCCCGACGTCGGGCTCTCTGCTCTCTGCTCGGCGAGGAGCCTGCTTCCTCCTCTCTCTCTGCATACCTCTCTGCCTACTTGTAATCTCTGTCTGTCAAATAAATAAAATCTTTAAAAAAAAAAAAAAAAAGAGATACCTCGCTGAATAGGAAGGAAATTTAAAAACAAAAACAAAAACAAAAAAACCTGGGGGTGGAGGGAGTTATTTAGAATATTTTTATTTTTTTTAAAGATTTTATTTATTTATTTGACAGAGAGAGAGATCACAAATAGGCAGAGAGGCAGGCAGAGAGAGAGGCGGGGGGGAAGCAGGCTCCCTGCTGAGCAGAGAGCCCGATGTGGGGCTCAATCCCAGGACCCTGAGACCATGACCTGAGCCGAAGGCAGAGGCTTAACCCCCTGAGTCAGCCAGGTGCCCCAGAATCATTTTTAACCAAGAATCCCATCACCATGGAAGAAAATGGCTGCATGTTTGTCACTCCAATGAGAACACCAGGAGCAGCCAACTTGACTCTTACCAAGTCAGTTCTGGCTAAAACTCTTGAGGTTCAGTCAGGCAAATCTAGGGGCTTTGTTCTCTATAAGGAGGGATCAAAGTACTCTAGCTGAACCTAAATTTACAACCAATCTAAAATTGGGGGGGAAAGGGGGAAAAAAGCAAATCATTCTAGGGAAGCCTCTTTGAAATCCTAAAAGAGCCACAAACCAGGACACATTGGAATCAGCGATGCCAATCGCTGTAAATTCGTTGTAAAGAACCCAGGATTCTGGGGTGCCTGGGTGGCTCAGTCGTTTAAGCGTCTGCCTTCAGCTCAGGTCATGATCCTAAGGTCCTGGGATCAAGCCCCGAGTTGGGCTCCCTGCTTAGCCTGAAGCCTTCTTCTCCCTCTCCTGCTCCCTCTGTTCGTGTTCCCTCTCTCACTGTGTCTCTGTCAAATAAATAAATAAAATCTTCAAAAAAAAAAAAAAAAGAATGCAGGATTCTCCTCCACCTCCACCACCAGCAATCCATAGTCACGACACTAGTCAATCATAATATCCACATGCCTATTCTAACCACAGCCTCTGGCTCCATCACTCACTCCCTGCCATACAAAGGAGAGGAAATGCTTCAGATAACATTAGGAAAACTTAGGTGTTTCCTAAGAACCCCAAAAGCACAGCTGTATTCATTTTCCCTAACACCTGGTTTTCCTCCAATTTACATTCCTACTTAAAGTACTCACTAGTTAATGGCACGTGTCATTAGAGCTGGTAATATATCTTTTATAAATGATAATGTAATTTTTTTATTAGTAGAACTAAACCACTTGTCCCTTGCTTTGCATTAAAAATTAAAAAGTGACCCCATTAAAATGTCCTCTCAGGAAAAGATCCTTCTGAACAAGGCTGAGGCATATTGGTGAAGAATTCGAGAGTTAGTAAGAACATGGAATACTGTGTTTAGTCTGAAAATAAAAAAGAATCACTTTCAATTTTAGTTAAGACAGACACACATAAATTCTCTGATTTCCTGCATATACCTCCTACTTCTTTCAATTTTCAAACACAGCTTGAAAGATTAAAAATACAAAGAAAGACTAATAGACTCACAGTGATTGAGTATCGGAATCAATCAGCAATCAACTCTATGCCAGCCTGAGAGCAGGAGGCATTACCAGAATTCACTACTTAATCGCTCAACTCCTTGTTTAATGTCTAAAGTAGAGACTGAATTATAATGTCACTCTACACAAGTGACAGACCATCTCTGGTCCTCAGTTTCCTGATCTGTAAAATGGAGGTAATAAAAATACCTATTGCTTGGGCTCACTGTGAGGTTTAACTGAGCACTGGTACTGAGTGCTTAAGAAGTGTTAGTTAGTCCTCTGTAAGACTGGTTTGATTATTAGCTATTGAGTGCTTTATAGTGTGCCAGGGATTACCTATTATTGCATTTAATTTATTACTTTTAAATCTGCTTCTTTCTCAGAATAAATACTTCCAGTTAGCAAAGACCTCAGTAATTCCATCCAACAACAAATAAAAAGAATAAAAAAAGAATGAGAGAGGAAGTCAACTTCCAAGCAGAAGCAATATTTCATATACTATTTTGATGTAATATTTTAAGCAAGTGCTTAAAAAATGTAAGTTTTTTATAGGTCCCTTGCCTTCTGGCCCCAGTGCTGAGTGCACAACGCCTCTCTGACAGACTTCCAGTTGTGTTGGGTAATTCCAAGAGGACCATTACCCATTCCATTACTACAGGCACTGTGCTAAGGCTGAGGCTTCTCCTGACTGGACTGGGTTAGGGTCTGTGACTCCACCATTTAAAAAGAGACCCAGTAAATGGCATTATTTGAAACGTAAGAAATAATCACAAATAAAGCATGTCAGTAACTTCTTAAAGCCCGAACATTTGATCTAAATATCATGTGCCTGAATTTATCCCTTTACTATTCATTTTCTTTAATGGTGGGGAAAAACAATAAAATGTTAATTGAGCTATCCCTCTCAGCAGTGAACAGTGCTGGCTAAAATCTATACACAACATTGAAACAATTGCGCTCCAGAACTGACTGACAATCTTGCCTCACCTACATTTAGAAGAAAACAATATTACCTAGCTTTCCAATCTATTGGGGAGAATAGATGGAAACATTCCTTAGAAACTATATCAGTACACAACAATATCTACAGTGGTTTATTCTTGCCAGAAATCTAATTCTTAGTGCTATAAGCTAAGCCATTCTCCTTGTAGTCTGTTCTTAAAACTTATCAAGAGCAAACCAAGAATTGGAGAAAGTTACTAAACAAAAAAAAAGAAAGAAAGAAAGAAAAGAAAAAATCCACAATCTCCTTGTTAGCACCTCTTCATGCCATGGTGATCTGATTAGTGATTTGATAAGTATAGATCACAACCCTGGATTTAATACAGGGTGGCCCACTTTTAAAACGACCCATTTATAACAAAGGTCTCTCTGTTGGAACTGTCAAGAGAGTTAAAAAAGAAAAAAATGCCACCAGTATCAAACACTTTTATTTAACCAGGCATTGCAGAGCAATGGAATTGCAAATCTAGAGACCTTCATCTTAGGCCAGCTTTACTAACTGTAAGACAAACAAGTCAGTAAGATCTTCTGATTTTCATACTCTCTGGGACTGTGCTGAAATTATCACCTGTCTCAAACGACCCCACAGAGAAGTCCTCAAGTAGAAGGAACACAAGATAAGTATCACACAGAACACTATAAGCTCCTTGGAGAAAAGACTCTCAATGTCTTAGGGAAGAAAAATGCACAGATCATTCTTTATTTACAGGAGAATATTTGTGAAGAGTAAGACTACTACAAACTAAAAAATTCTCTTTGAATTTTTACAAGTTTCAAACATAACACTCACCACAGTAGAAAGGGGAAAGATAACCTACCCCATGTTCCCATCCATTAGAAGAATCGTGTTGTATACGTGAGAAAATATGAAGAGAAACAGAATTGTGCTGAAGAACATTGTCATCCATGACCCATGATCCTCTCGAAACATTTTTAACCGGAGCAACTGACCTGCAATATAAGATATTATTAGAAATCAGTGTCCATCATGACTTACGATTTACACAGCTTTGCTTTCTTTTACAGAATCTCTCTTATCTCGCTATATTCTGAGCTCTTTGCCACAGAATTACCTTGTGGGTCAAACCACTCTATTAATGTCCTTTCTGGTCTTTTGTCAATAAATGATCATGAATGAAGTCCAAGACAGCCTCCGTATCATCCTGGAGCAAATAATACTAACATGAGAGTCTAGGATAGTCCAGAGATCATTTGTGATGCTGCGCTGAGGACAAGAGGAATTAGGACACGGCCCCCTGCTGCTTCCTGTCACTAAGGCGTCTTTGGTTTCCGGTATCCTGAAACTACTTCGGGCAAATGGTAAAGACATTGCATAAGTTCCACATAATTCCCTTTTGTTTCCATAAGCCCGCTCCCAGTAGGGACCAGAAAACAAAACCAAGGCAGACCCAATTGTTGAAGGTACATGAAAACTTAGAAGGAAAAATACAGTGTCTGTCAGAAGATCCGGACAACACAGCCTCACCCTCAGCTAACACACCCACACCTGCATACAGGTCTGTGCACAAGTGCGTGGGTTGAAGGGTTGAGGAGGGGGCAGCATGTACACATTACAGAGCTTGGTGTGGCTCCCAGCAAAAGGTTATTTCCACCCTGATGCCTACAATTCCACTTACATAGATAAATGCTAAGATAAGAAAGAACGTTAAAAGGCAAATATTTCAAGGAGGGAAAATGTGTATAGAGGAATACTAAAATAAACATTTCTAATATCAGAATTAATGCAGAAACATTTCTTGATTTACAGTAGAGAAGAGAAAGGAGAGCATTACTATCCTGAAAGGTGAGAAAGATGACAAATGGTGAGAGTAAGAAACAAATGAACATAGGTCACCCTGGCTTCTCCTAAGATCAACTTTGTCTAGTGGCTTATTTCCATTCCTGAGAAAGTTATCTAAGTAATGATAAGGGAATGATACACACACATAAACTACAGTTAAAATAAAGTAGGCCTGCAATCCTATAATAGAATTTCTCACTAGAGAAAATATTCCCTTTTTATTCATGATATGTCAAATTTATGAAAAAGACAACCATATTTCCATCTGGAAATTGTCTCTCTAGGGATAGACAGTAGCTCTCACGTACGTTACTGAGGATAGAGAGAAATCTTTTAAGATTTAATTACTAAGTTTTTCTTGTACCTCACTTTTATTAAAATAGCACTTTAGGGGGCATCTGGGTGGCTCAGTGGATTAAAGCCTCTGCCTTCAGCTCAGGTCATGATCCCAGGGTCCTGGGATCAAGCCCCGCATCTGGCTATCTGCTCAGCAGGGAGCCTGCTTCCCTTCCTCTCTCTGCCTGCCTCTCTGCCTACTGTGCTCTCTGTCTGTCAAATAAATAAATAAAATCTTAAAAAAAAATAGCACTTGAGGTTTCATTTGGAAACCAGAAACATTACCCTAGCCAAAATTTTAAATAGAATGAAAGAAAAGGAGATTTGGTTACATCACCTGGTTTCTTGGCCTGTGCAAGAGAAGCAAAGGGCAAATCTGAAAGTCAGGGGGAGTGTTAATTTTAACTCGAAGAAGAACGTGGAAAGCTCTCCTGTTGAAGCAAACAATACTAGCAGAGCAAATTACAACTTTACAGAACTTGCTGATTAACTGAATTAACAGTTATGGGAAACCAGAGATCTGCAAGTCTCCACACTGTACATTGTCAAGAATGTGATAAACAGATATTAAGCACAGGATACCTGAGAGTAAAAAAACTCATGCCATAAATCTCATACTGTAACGAATATTATTCATTGTTGAGCAAAATATTGGATGTGTTCCGATGACATGTGAACCATGGTTCTAGGTATTCTAGAGATACAGCTGAGAGCAAGGCCGGAAGGTGTTTGAAGTCCATCATTGTTTGGGTGATTGATGAAAAGGTGATCTTATTTTAGACTCGGGGGCTGTCTTTGTTCAACGTTCCCTTAGCTGCACGTCTTTTCAGCTTCAAACTAAGATTTATTTAATTCAGCAGTTTAGACTGAAGAACAGCAAAGATCAGCAATTAGAGTTCCTTGGATATTTAAATGTGAATTTCCTTCTCAACATATGCATATGTCAAAAAATTACTAATGGATGTACTTTAAAAGTCAAACCATAATGCTAGCGATTGAGGAGTGCTTTGCAAATAAAACATAGTAGATTAACTGTGCACTGGCTGAAATAACACAAAGTTAGTAAAAAGGGAAACATGACAATACCATTTATGCTGTCATTGCTAAGCTCATTGTCTGGCACTAATTTCAGTCATTAGAGTCATTAGAACAAATGGCAGGTTAACATGGCCTGAAAATCACTTGCAACGCACAATAAAAGTGCTACCATATATGAAGGACGGAACTGGTGTGGCTCCAGTGTTCAGTCAAATCACATTATGAAAATTCCCCATAACTTCCTTCAAGGTTAACTCACTGAGTGTCCATCCTATTGCTTGAAACACGTAGACATAGATTGCCATCAGTTGGCTGCTGGCATAAGTGACTTCTCTTGCAAGCTAATCAAATCAGGAACCTCGGCGTTACCTGAAGATGTCACACAAAAATGGGCTGTCTCTGCCCTGTAGTATGACTGTATATTTGGTCTGCCTAGGACAACAGTGGCTTATGACTGTTGTCCTGACATAATTATTAATAATGTCCCCTCCCTTCCTTAGTATTCTGGTTTGGGTAATAAATTACATGCCACCTTTTCCGTAGATCACAGAATTCAGAATTTATTTTAAGATTTTATTTATTTATTTGACAGAGAGAGAAATCACAAGTAGGCAGAGAGGCAGGCAGAGGGAGAGGAAGGGAAGCAGGCTCCCTGCTGGGCAGAGCCCGATGCGGGCCTCGATCCCAGGACCCTGAGATCATGACCTGAGCCGAAGGCAGAGGCTTAACCCACTGAGCCACCAAGGTGCCCCACAGAATTCAGAATTTTTATCACACTTTCCCTTAGAGGAGTTTCAGTAAATAAGGGAAGACAGTCCTTATAGGTCAACAAGAGAAAAAGGGCGTTGCTGAGAAGGTGCATACATTCCTGACAAGGTCAGAAGTGACTTTTATTTTAATCATAGATATGTTTGTGAATATAAGTGTATATTTATGTTAGTAAAATTTATCTTGGATTGTAGGGATGATCACATTTGATAAGGTCAAGGTAATTGGAAAATGAATCTTAGAATAGGCAGAAGCAGTAAGATAGTACACAAGCCTGTAGAGGTGTCAGAAGACACAGGGATTGGCTGTTACAAATGCTGGTTAAAGTCAAGTGATATGCCCGAAAATCTCGGAATCTTTCCTAGAAATACAGTGGCTTTAAGGCCAATAACATGTTATAAAATTCTAACAAGATTAATGATCTAAAAACATATTTAAAAATATATAATGACCACACATATGTAGTGGAAAATTAAAAAAAAAAAGGCAAGTGTAATAGGGAGAATTATGGGGAAACTGTTTGGTTTCTTGGGGGATTTTTGCCACATGTTCTCATTGGCAAAATAAAAAGGAATATTTCCTTTCTACCTCGCAACCAGACTTTTGTCCTATGTTCTGGGTACCTTTTGCTCAGGTGTGGTTCTCATGAGGAGGCCTAAAATAAGGAAATAAACAATCCCAGAGGAAAAGAAATAGAAGTGTCTGTGCTTTCACACAAGAGATAAGGGTAGACCTACTCCTGGGAATTTGTTAAAGAAAGGGGTTCATTAGAGCGAGGACTTCTAGAATCAGAGAGAATACCAGATTTAGGCCTCCAAGGTGGCAGAACCTCATTTGGATTTAATTTCATGGATGCTGGTGAAAGCCAGCATCAAGAGTCATGGCATTCCAAGTCCGGTAAGGAGACTGAGCACTAGCTAACCTTAACCCTAACCCTAACCCTAAGGGCATAAGACCAGTGGGGTGATCACCAACTTCCATTAGGAACACAACAACCTGAGCAGGACACAGCCAACTGTTGGAGGAGGTCACCGAGAGAATATGATCCCCAAGTGACCCTCAAGCCAGACCTAAGCATTCAGAGGTTCCTGGTCCTTTCCCCTGTCGTTGGAATGCACGTTCTCCCCACCATTCCCATGGTGGGAGCTGTTTTTAATGACACAGTCTTGAGAGAGCAATGAGTTGTTGAAACTGTCCAGATGGGGGGGGCGGGCACCTGGGTGACTCAGTCATTAAGTGTCTGCCTTTGGCTCAGGTCATGATCCTGGGGTCCTGGGATCAAACCCACATCTGTTCCTGCTCAGGGGAACCCACTATTCTCCCACTATTCTCCCTCTCTCGCAGTATCTCTCTCTGTCAAATAAATAAATATAAATCTTAAAAAAAAGAAAACAAGAAAAGAAAAGAGAAGAGAAAAGAAAAGAAAAGGAAACTGTGTAGATGGTTTAAGTGACTGAACTCAGTTGAGGCCTCTATATGAATTTTTAAGACTGTGGTGGGCAAGTATAGAGATTTACTTGCCTTGTGACTACTGAAGGCATGCCTTGTGTGCGTTCTCTTGCTTTTTAAAACTGCCACCTCCCAACTGGAAGGTGCCTGACTCCTTCTTCGGTCTCTCTTTGCCCTCCATGCATTGGGGCCGGTGTCAGATTTTATTTGAGAAATTCCCAAGTTTGCAAACCAGCACCATCTTAACCGGTACCATAGTGCCAAAGACTGGGCCAAAGACTATCACCCAGGCAGCATTAGAAGAAGCAGATTAACAGGTAAATACAGACTGAGGGATTTGTTTCCAGGACCCCTGTAGCCTTGGGACTATTTTAAACTTCACTGATTAAAAAAAAAAAAAGGTAAGGTGATAAATTACTGGTATTGTACTCTCTGCTCACCTTGGTAAGAGGAATCAGAGCAAGATTTATATAATATAGAGGAAAAACTGTGGCATTACCACATAAGACCCTGACCAGGAAATATAAAAGGACAAATGAAGGTGGCACTTTCCTCAAGA